TGATGAATCCAGCCGCCATGAGTTTGGCGACCTCCTCGCCTATGGCCCTGCGTCTCTCATCGTCAAAGCGATGCAGTCGTTGCTTGGTGGGCTTTGAGCCCGGGATGAGGCGTAATGCATGCTCGGTGACCTCCCACGGTATGCCCGGCATGTCAGAAGGTTTCCATGCAAAGACATCATGATTAGCGCATAGAAAGTTGGCGAGCTCGCACTCCTATTTGGCTGAGAGCTTGGCCCTGATCCGCACCATCTTGGTTGGGTCGGTGGGGTCGATCCCTACCACCTTAGTTTCCTCGATTGGGCGGAAGGTAGTCGAGGAGGTTAGCTTGTTGCAGTCTGGGACTGCTGGAGTCGATGAATTTCCGAGCTGGGGGAGCTCGACTGAGTTGATGACGGTAGTGGCGAGCTTGTAATGCTCATGGTCGCACGTCTAGCGTGCAAAAAGGTGCTACCCATAGTGATGACGTCGTTTGGTCCCGGCATCTTCAACTTGAGGTAAGTGTAGTTGGGGATCGCCATGAACTTGGCATAGCATGGCCGCCCTAAGATGGCGTGGTAAGACCCTAGGAAGTCCACCACCTCGAAGGTGAGGACCTTCGAGCGGAAGTTGGCCCAGTCGCCAAACGTGACGGGTAGGTCGATCTGCCCGAGCGGGTATGCCTATGTCCTTGGGATCATGCCGTGGAAGGGAGAGCTCACTGGGCGGAGCTCCTACCGGGGGATGCGCATGGCGTCGAGGGTGTCGACGTAGAGAATGTTGAGGACACTGCCTCCATCCATCAACACCTTGGTGAGGCGCTTCTTGCGGACAATGGGGTCGACGACGAGCGAGTAGCAACCCAGTCTGGCGACGTGGGAAGGATGGTCCCTCTGATCAAAAGTGATCAGAGATTCTGACCAGCTAAGGAAAGAGGGTACGGCCCTTTTGGCGATGCATGCCTCTCTGTAACGTACTTTGTGCTGGCGCTTAGAGTAGATGGCATCGGATCCCCTAAAGATCATGAGGCATTCCTCGGGATCGGGAAAGTTTTCCCCATCCTTGCCCGCCATGCCTCCTTTCTTGGCCGCTGCCTCCTTGCCCTTTCCTTCTTTTGGTCCGTCGACCTGTCATAGAAAGCGCTTAAGGAGTTCGCAGTCCTTGTAGAGGTGCTTGATGGGGTGGGCGTGGTTGGTGCATGGTCTCTCCATGAGCTTGTCGAAGTGGCCGAGCTGGCCCTGCTGGGGCTGCTTGCCCGCACGATCGGCCACGGCGACCAAAGCGGAGTTGGCCAGTTGGTGCCGATCCTTCTTGTTCTTTTTGCCCCTTTGTGTAGAGGGACCCTCGTCTTGGTCCTCGCACTTGGCCTTGCCCTTGTCCCGGCCTCCACTAAAGATCGCTCCGACCGCCTCCTCGTCGGAGGCATGGTTCATGGCGACGTCGAGCAGGTCGCGGGTGGTACGGGGCTTTAGACAGCTGAGCTTGTGGATCAAGGACTCACAGGTTGTCCCAGAGAGGAACGCGCTGATGATGTCCGCGTCAATGACATCAGGAAGAGAGTTGCATTGTTTCGAGAACCTACGGATGTAATCCTATAGGAACTCGTTGGACTCCTGTTGGCAGCTCTTGAGGTTTTAGGAATTCTCAGGACGGATATACGTCCCCTAGAAATTCTAGATGAAGATCCTCTTGAGATTCGCCCAATCACGGATGCTGTCAGGCGGGAGGAATTCGAGCCATGCTCGAACATACTCCCCCATGCAGATGGGGAGGTATTGAATGATGAAGTGGTCATCATCCACCCCTCTAGCTCGGTAGGCGATCCGGAAGTCTTCGAGCCATATACCGGGATTCATTTCCTCGGTGTATTTGGTGATGTTGGTAGGTGGTCGGAAGCGCTGTGGGAACGGCGTTTTCTAGATACGACGGCCAAAGGCCCATGGTCCCGGGCCAAATGCCTGGGGTGCGTTTCCACGCTCCCCTCGATGGTCCGGCCAGGGCCCGTGCCGCCTGCTCTCACCGCCCCATGATGGACGTCATCATCACACCGGGCTTGACGTCGATTGTTGATGACGCTACGAGCATCTCGGTTCGGCCCGAGTCATTCACGCACAGGTGGTCGGTGTGGAGCGGGCGCCGGGTCAGGCCATGGTGTAGCTACGGCCTCTTGTTCCACGCCCGACGACTGTAGCGGTGAGTGGATGGAGCGGTTTGACTGGTGCGCCCCCATTCCCCTGGTGGGGAGAGAGGCCGTGAGTCGGTGTCATGAGGTGGAGCTCTCCGCCTGTTGGACGGCGGAGGTTTCCACCAGCGCCCGGAGGTTCTGGTGGATCGTCTGCTCCTGGGGGTCATCAGGCTCGGGAAGGCCACGTAGAAGCATCGCCGCAGCGACGATGTTCTGGCTAGCCCGAGCAAACTATGGGGATCATTTCCTCCATCCATGATGTTACGCTGAACTTGGCGGGCGTGACCCCGGGCCCCGCTCGCCGGGTTACGCGTGCGTGGCGCAGCATGCTGCGCCGAGTGCGTTGGTGCAGGTGGCGGCTGGCTCTGCCGCCTTTATCGTAACTCCTCACCATGCTCCTGCGCGCGCGCGAGGGCCTCCACATGAGAGTCCAGAGGGTTGTGAGTCTGTAGAGACTCCGCTATCACCGGTGGCTGTCCCAAAGCGTCCGCCATAGTGCACTCCCGGGACAGAGGGTGGCTAGGTGCCACGACGTCGCCAATGCAGGAGCTGTCGCTTTCAACCTCGTCATCCACGAGGTCGTGGAAAGAGACGGGAGAGTAGCCCATCATCCCCACGAATTCAGATGTGAGAGGGGGCGGTGTCAGCATCTTTCGAAGCCCCCGCGCGTACGCGTCCGTGGGGGACACGAGGCCGTAGGGGAACCAGTCGCATGGGGGTCGTGGTGGGGACAACGGGGTCCATTCGGAGAGTCGGCGGAAGATATTAAATAGCGAGTAAAGAACAATATGTATGTTACTCATAGTGGGGTTTGAGCCCAGCGTGGGCTCAGAGCGAAGCGCGAGCGTCTCGTCGTTGAGGTCGCCGGGTGGCCCAGAGCCGACGGAGGGCGCTCCTCCTCCGATGGGTGCCGGGACAAGTGCCTCCTCGCGAAGGCGAAGCACGCCGAGCTGGTCGGCGACGAAGTCCAGACTTCCGAAGAGGAAGGTCTGGAACGGCTCGAAGACGGGAGGAACCCACATCCCAACAGGCGGGAGTGTGGGAAACTCCAGCAAGCCAAAGCAAATCGTATCGCTTGAGCCCGTCATGCCGAAGATGGCGGAAAGGTGGGTCATCCAATGACCAAAGGCGTGAACGTACGGCGTCTTCCCCACGGACGGCGCCAACTGTCGGTGCGAAAAGTGACCAACAAGTGAATATTTGTAGTTTTTGCCGTACGTTGTGATCGGATGTGGCCTAGCACTCAATGACACAGGGGTTATACTGGTTCAGGCAACGTGCCCTACGTCCAGTTTTAGTCGGTCGGTGACTTTATTCCTGAGCCCAGGTGCTTGAAGTTTGTTGTGGGGTTATAAACGAGTAGGAATAAGATGGGAGGTGTTAGAGGTCCAGTCGGACTCTGGATTGAAGGACCAAGAGTGACGAGAGCTCCTACGTGCGCTAAGTGTTGGAATGTATGCTCTATGTAGCTTTAGAGTTTTAGAGCCGTGGAGCTGTTCGAGTGCTCAGAATGTCTAAAGCTAGCAGAGTGAGAGTCGGAATGACCGGCCTCTATTGGAAGAGAGCGCATCCCCTTTTATAAGTGAAGGGGATGGCCTTACAAGAGAGAGAGACAGAGTGTGCGTGCTTCCTAGTCTTGTTGCCCACGCCGTCGGGTACAAGACAGTTTGTCGGCGCCCACAATACTGTTGACGTCCAGATGCATGTGGCAGGCTCCATCGTGTTCTTCTGGTATGGCAAATGTCGGCGCCTACCATACTGTAGGACAAATGTTGGCGCCCACAACATTGTTCGTATTCTGACATGTCCTGGCGGTACTGTCCTGCAGGCGTGTAGGATACGGTCCTCAGTATTGCGGTTGACTTGAGCGTCTCGCCTTATCTACTCCGCCTGATTCTTGGGTCCTCACCGAGCGGGCGTCCCCGGTCGGTCGTTCCCAGTCGGCTCCGACCGTGTCGGTCGGAGTCGGAAGCTGTAAGCAAAGGTTCGGCGTGTTCTCGGTCGGAAAAGCGGGTCGGAGTCAGAAGCGAGCGTCGTCCCCTCCTTGGCCAGGCCTTCCGGTCGGAGACTGGATCGCTCTTCCGGCCTGTCGTTAGGTATCTGGGCCGGTCCAGGAGTCGCGCATTGTCGCAACGTCCTCTGCTGGGCCGAGCTTTTTGCTGGGAAGCGGGCCCATTGGGGACCCCAGATTTATGAACCCGACAGTAGGTATATTGTTCTATTTTTTTCTCCTAGGTATATAGTGATGTGGTTGCATTTCTTATGTTCCACCTTCAACATCTTTGCTATATGGATGGCCAGTCCCCAAATTGGTGGATCGTGTAATAATATTTATTAGTTGTATTTGATAAGCTGCTAAGAATTGTTAAACAAATGTATCATATTTCAAGCAGAAATACATTGACTTGCCATCTAGTCAGGAACTTATCACTGTGTATATCAATTTAGTTATTACCTCATTTTTCAACTAGATTGTATGGACACTAAGGTTATTGATATTGGAGTAAGCACTAATCACCTCAGCTATTCAATGATTAGTATATCCATGACTAATTTGATTTATTGTAGCTGTGATGGTGAATGTGGAAGGCTGTTCCATCCAAACAGTTCCCATGGTCAACATTCTAGTTGCAGAGGTCTTGAACTGAAGGATGACCAATGGGTGCTATTCCTTTGCCTAATGATTTGGTTTTCTTCTTGTTTTATTATGTCAACATAGCCTTTTAATGTCCATACGTATCAATGATGTTGGAATCGAAATCGTCCAACTTTATATGCAAGAACTGTGAGTATAAGAAGCACCAATGTTTTGTTTGTGGGGAGTTGGGATCCTCCAAGATGCCTCCAGGTTCGCTAGAGGTATGTCTATCAAGAAAAAAAAGACTAATATTTCATATAAGATGTTTCCTCTTCTATTCATGATGGGATATTTTTCTTGATTTTCACTACGAGTTTTATGTAACTGAGGATAAGTGAAAAGGATCGATGATGCAAAACTACTCATGTCCAAAATTTGCTTATAGTCCAGGTCCTCATATGGAACGAGTCCACGTACAAGGTGCTATGCGTATACGAGCTCGTTCCATATAAGGAGCTGGGCCATAAGCAGATTTAGAGCTTAGGATGTTACAGAGGAATTTTATCTACATACAAGAGCTGAAATTGCTGGGAGTAGATAGAATGAAAGAGTGAACAATACCTTATTTCATATGTGCTCTGAATACTTAACAACGTTTTGCATATGCATATGTTAATCAAGATTGGTCATTTTCCTAACTTTTTTATTTACCTTTTATCAGGTCCTTAAATGTCAGAAGAAGTATTGTGGGCGCTTTTACCATCCTAATTGCCTTTTGAAGTACGATCGTAGTAAAAATCACCGGGACTTCGAGTGCCCTTTGCATGAATGTCATTCATGCAAGAATAAGGGAGGAACAATAATAACTAGGAAACAGACAGAAAAGGAGGAGGAAACATACTTGGTACAATGCAGGCGTTGTCCCGTGGCATACCACCGGAAGTGCTTGCCAAGGTACCGTATAGTTTGTGTACTTAGATACCGGGTGATATGGACATGTTGTTGATTTAAATGAATTTGTTTTCATTGACCGTTGGTACTTGTTTCACAGGGATATTTCCAATGTTGCTGACGATGAAGTCCAACGAACATTCAAGATTAAAGAACGATCTCAAGAACGATCTCGAGAACGATTGTTTTTCTATTGCAGGTACAAGTTTTTAGCCTTCCATCCTTACATGTCATCTAGGATCTGTTTCCAATGCCCCAACATGCGTTTCAGAATCAGTGATTTCTGCAAAAATGTATAATCATTTCCAGGAAACATGAGATGGTGGGAAAACTCAACAGTGCAACACGGGATCATCTGAAATTTCCAGAAAGCCCTGCTGTGTTCAAGTTTGATCTAAATGAGAAACTTCCTGAAGAAACTGAAGCACCAGAGCCTTACGCGAGTACCAGCTCTGCTCCCATGGAGCCCTGTGCGTCTCGGCCTCCATTCCCATGTCAGCACCCAGCAGGCTACGGTGGCTGGCTGGATGACTGATCATTCATTACCTCCTCGTGTCCGTGTTCTGTGTCGATGAGAATTCTCAGGATAATGAAAACTGCTGAAGTGCTTCGCATCATAACCGGTAACGCTGTTTGTTGTCTGCTGCGTCATCTGCTGATGTAGTCAGTGGTGGGTTGTGACTGGTCACCGTATCAACAATGAACAATCTGGATGCCATGACATTGGTTTCTTGCTTATATTTTATTTGTTTGGACCAAGACTTGAATTCGTTATCAGCTTTTAGTAGACCTGCCGAGGAGCGTTTTCTGTACAATTTTCAGCCGGTGCCTTCATGCCCTGCTACTTTGTGACTCCCTTTTGCTTAGGACATTATTGTTTGTGACTGTTGGCTTGTGGAGGCATCCATCTTACTGCTTACAGGTATGCAATGCAATGCATCTTGACCAGCTCACTGAGGGCGACGGCCTGGTGGATCTGCTGGTGGTTTGCTTGCAGGTGATTAGCTGGATTGTGCTGTTTAAGTCCCGGCAATTCAGTTTCTGTACATGCTCGTCGCTTTGCTGAAGCTGTTATCACTACAATGACCTGTTGTTCATGGAAAGGAACAAGCGAGCAACATCAGTGGACTGCCCATTGCAGAATTGCAACACTTGGGCAAGTCCAGTAAGTGATGCTTGCATCACAGAGCATTCACTTGAGACGACATGAACGTCCCGCTATTCTAGAGATCAGATGAGATGAGGGAGTAGCCTTACCCTGCAGGTCCCAAGCGAAAGCGACCGGGGTAAAAACAATAAAAAAAAACACCACGCGTTTATCTCCGGTGATGAAGATGCGGCTGGAGTTAACGCAGGACTGTGATAGACGGCAAGCGGGGGAGGGGTGGTAAGCATGAGCGGTGCTTTTGGTGCAGCCTTCGTGCCGTTGTCTCCGGTCACAGTCTCGGGACGGGACGGGGACTTAACGCAGGACACGGCACTCCACGCCTCCGCAACCGCCGCTTTTGGTGCAGTTCTTCGTGCCGTTGTTCCGGTCACAGTCTACGGGGACGCCGGCGCCACGCCTCCGCAACCGCCGCTTTCGGTTCATTCGTTCCTACGCTTACGGCGCTGCCTCGCCATGGGCGTGCGAGCGCGATATCTCCCTGATTCGATCGTTGATCTCATATTCTCCTTGCCTTTTTAACCGCGATTACGTCTGCTACAGCTTGCGAACATTCAACTTTTGGAGTTCTCCCGTTTCGCCACGACGGGCGCCGACCGCCGACCACACGCCAAATCCAACGCCGTGGCCACGGCATCGCCGCTCCCTCTCCCCTCCCCTGGCCGCCGCGACCGCGTGCACTTTCCCTGAACTTTTCACCCTGCCTTTTACCCTTTGCCAGGCGCGCCGCGCGCGACAACGGCAGCAACCGCTACAGCGAAGCAGGCAAGGCAGGCAGACCCCGCCTCACCCACCCCACCACACCCCACTACACCACCACCGCTCTCACACCGGAACAAAACGCGGAGTCTCCACACTATCGGCGAACCGATTCCGTGCGCTGTTGGCTGTCGCGTGGCGCCTGTGGCGCCTACTTGGTACAGGCTCGGCCGCCGTCCCCCGCAGCAGCCGTTTTCTAGCTGCTTCCCGCTGGTTCGCGGCCGCCGTCCAGGGCGTCTGAGCTAGTGGTAACCCTGCCTTTTTTGTTCCTGGGGTATTCCTCAGTTCGCACCGCTGTCGCTTCCCCCAATCCAATCCTCCGTAACCGATCGGCGCGGATGGAGGCGCTGAAGAAGCAGGCCAGCAAGCTCCGGGAGCACGTCGTCAAGCAGCAGCAGGTACGGGTTCCTGGTTCCCCTCTGAGTTCAAGCAATTCTGTTCCGCACCGATCAAGCGGGCGTGGCCGGATGCGCGGCGAGGGCGCGGGATTTGAGCATACCCTGGGAAGAAGTATATATCGTGCTCTTGTTGACGTGCTTGCTCACGTAGTTGATTACTTCTGCTAAACTAGTTTTTGTTTTGGGATTTCGAGCTCCTAGATGTTGTGTTTTGGGTTGGGAGAGCAGGAGCAATTGGAACAGGAAGCAACTGAATTGTGTATTGCCAGCCTGCTTCTGGTTGAGTATGAGCACTGCCCAATTGCCCAATTCTTGAAGTTGGCCTGTGGCTGCTGATTTGTTCTGCAGCTGAGGCTTACTTCATTAATTCGCATAGACTGTAAGCCTTTCCCTTTCCTTGCCTGTGTGGCCTCCTTGAGAGAGAATTATGTGTCATGATGCAGGCGGTTCTCAAGCAGTTCAGTACGCGATATAATCAAGATCCTTCTCTTGTTGATGAAGCGGAGCTTGAGTGCCACCAGAATCTCCAAAGGCTTTACAGTACTACAAGAGCAGCTAAGGTCTGAGTTAACTTCAGCTTATCACATGCCTCACAACAAATACTAGCCTAGCTGATTGTTTAAAGGTTCTCTCGGCAAAAACTCTTGTTCTGTAGCATTTCCAGCGAAATATTGTACGAGGGGTGGAAGGTTTCATTGCGGTTAGCACCAAACAGATGGAGATAGGTGAGTTTTGGTATTAGTTTTTCTGCTATATCTGTGTGCTTCCTTATATCTTGGGATATTTTGTAATCATGGTACGATGTTTCTGTAGTGAAAAAACTAGCCGAGGATTGTTGTAAATATGGAAACGACAATCAACATTTTGGTTTTGCTCTTGCAAGGGCATCTGAGGAGTTCGGTAAATCTCATAAACAAATAGAGAAAGAGCGGGAGGATCTTCTTAAAAGTCTTGGAGAGCAGGTGATGAAAAATTTTCACTTATTGATAGAATTTTCAGGGTTGTGAATGCTCTTTAATCCTTGAAGTAGCCTAGATCATCTAAGTTGATATATCTTTGATGTTAACTTTAGCTTATTGGCTTTATTGACAATTTTACAGGTTTTTGAGCCTCTCCGAGAAATGATAATGAGTGCTCCTCTTGAAGATGCTCGATTGCTAACTTACCGCTATCAACGGATCAGACAGGACATGGAGTCTCAGGTAATGAGTCATAAAAAATATTTTTTTTCCCTACAGAGACAAGTGGCAGCTACTAATTGTGAATTATTTTATTAGATAGCTGATGTGATGAGAAAGCAACTTAAATCCAAGGAAAGTAGTGGTAACACAGATAACTCTGTGAAACTGCAACATGCAGAATCGAAATTATCAGATCTTCGAACTACACTGGCAGCATTAGGAAGAGAAGCATCTGCAGCTATGGAGGCTGTAGAGGCTCAGCAACAGCAAGTAACGTACGAACGTCTCCTTGCAATGGTATGATTTGGCTCGGCATATTCATATATTAAGTGAAAGCACCTGATCCATTTTCGCAGTGATTAGGATCTCCTGTATACAATCACTCAATCCTCTCAAGCCTTTCCGTCTCAACAACCTGCACTTAATTGCTAGATTTCACATTTCTAAAGATTAGCCATCCTTGGTACTATTTTCAGCATATTTCTTATATAGTTATCTATGATTCTTCTTGTGCTTTCAGACTGGGGTTGGGGGTTGACCCCATCCTCAGTGTTCATTCTAGAAATTTGATTAACAAACCATCCCTTGTTTTGAAAGAGTAGAATTGGGATTTTTGTATTTAAACCTGTAACACAGGGTTGTCTAATCTAGGGCCTGTTTGGTACAGCTTATAAGCTGCTTGTGGCCAAAATAAGCTGAGACTAAGAGCATCTCCAAGAGTTTACAAAACTCACTAAAACGCTCTCCAACAACTCCTTATCTCAACTACCAATCTTTCCGCACTTGGGAAAATAAGCTGAGACTAAGAGCATCTCCAAGAGTGTATCGATCGGCCAATCTAGAGGTGGAAGGACGTGGGGAAGAATATGGAGTAAGGACAGGGTTCACAATGCAAATGCAAAAGAGAAAAAAGAAAGTATAAATATGGTTGTGGTGATTTGGAAATAGTTCGAGATTCCTAATGCAAAATTGTCTTCTACCTTTTAGGAGCGAGATTTTCGAAACGGTTGGAGGAACCCAACAAATGTGCTCCCAACTTTTTGTAGCCACTTGAAGAAACTTATTGATCTACCAATTGTTTTTTTAGAAACTCTTGGAGATGCTCTAAAAGCCAAATGGCATGTTTTTTACAGCTTTTTCTAGCCACGCTTCTCCCCGCAGCACCCAAAGCTGGGTCAGAGACCGCGCTTTTGCTTTATTTGTTCAGCTTGTCAGATAAGCGCTTTTTTTACCGCTCTACCAAACAGGGTCCTAATCCCCTTTGATTAACTGTCTTCAAATGTCATAGGAGTAGTAGAATTTGCATGTGTTAACTAAAAGTTTTGGAACTTCTTGAACAAAGAATCAACATTTCTCTTGCTGTGGTTATTCGTTCCAACTTTGTGTTTCAAATTCGTGAATTCCCAGACAAATAGTTCCAGTGTTGCCATGTGCTGCGGTGTTTGCAAACCTGTGCAGGCTTCTGTTACTTTGACTTGAAGAATGTCTATCACTCATCTGCATTAAGTTTCTTGGATAAAGAGTTAGATGGCTCTTGACAACCCTTAGTCTATGCTTACAGGTTGATGCTGAGAGGACATATCATCAAAATGCTGCTGATATTCTGAATAAACTCCATGATGAGGTGCACAACTGGCCCAGAAAGATGTGCTTTTTCACCTGTATAGCTAGTTTGCATTGTCTTAAACCTTGATACGCTGAAGATCATTATGTTTCATTTTTCGCTTATGCGCAGATGCTCTATGCAAAGCATCATAATGGGTCAGAAAACCATTACGATGAACAGTCATCAGAGCCTGAATCAGATACAGGCCCAGCACAAGTGCACTCACATAGCACATCTGAAGATCCAGTATTAACTAAACCTAGCGAATCCACAGGAAATAGTCAGGAGGTGCAATTTCTGGGGGAGGTATGACTGTTTTTGGCCCTGCATGCTGTGAATATTATTGTACATAAATGCATTAGTTTTTAGGATGTGTTTGCTCTAAGCTCGGCACTTTTCAATATACTATGCTTAGAATTTCCATGGTCCACCTTCTGTCTGGCATGAGTTTTATCCTATCTTCTGTTAAATATTTTAGATAGTCTGATGGAGCTTTTTGGAAGTGCCATGTAATTTGGAACTTCTCTGCTGGTTACTTTTAAATTAAATTATAAATATATTATCCTACAATATAGTGTTTTAATGGCTAATTTTATGCATACATGATTTGAATTTCCTCATTCTCCAGTCCCGTTTATTATTGCATGAGAAGTCCTGAAATTATGTGAACTCTGTATTGGGTATATGACTAGTCTGAAATTATTGGAGTTTTATTTCTGATCCCAGCACCTAATTTAAATGAATAATGGATTTGATTGGTGAATGGATCTTCAACAAAGCTTGACGATTCACAAGTGCTGAAAATAATTATTGGGTACAATTAGTCTGCGGTGCTGAACATAACAGCACATTATTCTATTAGCTCAGGAATTTTTTTACTTGCTTTTTGGGCAGGTTATTCATCCATTCGATGCTCAGGCTGATGGTGAGCTCAGTCTTGCGGTGGGTGAATATGTTGTGGTCCGCCAGGTACATGGTTTGCTTTATTTGTTGACAATTAAGTTTTATCGAGGTTGTGGGATACCTCATGGCCAAGTGGGGACAAAAAATAATACAAATTTATAGCTCCCCACTAAATAATCTATAGTAATAATTCATAAGGCAGCATCCTATTGTGTAGTGCTGTAACTGTAACCAACCACTGTATCTTTTAGAAAACGAACAGATGCGAGACAGCTTATAATTGTCCTGTTCGTCGTCTTGCTAATTCTCTGGGAGATATGGAGGGGGCCGGAATGCTGACTAAGCACATTGTCTTTCTTCACAGGTGGCAGCAAACGGTTGGTCTGAAGGTGAATGCAAGGGAAAGGCTGGCTGGTTCCCATCTGCCTATGTAGAGCAGAGGGACAAAGCCCCGGCAAGCAAGGTGAGAGAGCCTGGACTTCTGACTACCTGATCCATCTCGTACTTATGGTTGCTGACTTGCTGTCATGGTCCTTTTTCTACATTATTGTACATGACATGTCCCATGAGTGATTAGTATTTCGTAGAACCTTTACCTTTCTGTGCAGATTATTGTTCTTCTAGGCTTTTCGTTGGTTGGTAACTGTATGTAAAATATAGTTTTGTCTGTTAGGATTTCCTTTTGTTATTATAACATTGTACAGAGCTATTGGTGTTGGTGATGAGATGCTCTCAACTTGCCCTTTATATTCGGACATCATGCTTCCTGCCAAATTTATGCTAACTAATGATTTCATAACAGTGAGACTGGCACTGCTGCCTGTGGTTATGGTACGAAACACTGTAGACGTAGAAGCAGAATACGATTGAGGCTTTCTTCAGAAAATTTGTGTAGGTAGGTGTTACCGGTCTGAAACTAACCTTGTTCTTCTATATGGAGCTCGGAGGCTATTAACCTCCTGTAACTTTTTGTACAGGTAGATCTAACGAGAGAGAATTTGCTCTAGATACATATTGAATGGTGCGTCGTTGTCCGGAACAGAAATAGAATAGGCAAAGGACGCAATTGAAGCGACCTGTACATCTGACTGGGCAAAAGAAGCTTGGTGGTTGGATCCTTCGACCCAACTTTATCCGAAGTCTGAACCTCAACTGGCACAGAAACCCCTGTTTCCCCCCTCACCGGTCACCACCGCCCACAAGCTGCTGCTTTGCCCGACTCTGCAGGAGCTGAATTTATGGAGCCAAGACTCACATCTCTTCTGCTGCCGTGCCGGTCCGGCGTAGCCGAGCACGAGGAGGCCGGCAGGCCGCGGTTGTTTTCTGCCGCGGCACCCGGCACGCACATGGAGCCCGGAAAACTCACAGCTCCAGCCCTCGCGGATGGAGACGCTTCATCGGCGAGGTGAGGGCGAGAGACGGCATCGGGCTCGGCACGCAGGCATCGTCATTGCGCAAGTGGGGCGCTGTGGTGTCCACGGATTGATGGCTTTGCGATTCAGCGTTTCCCCGCTCACCGGTCTGCTGAGGCCGTTGGGGCCTCGCGCAGTTATGATGGCTGTCTGACTCAGCGGCGTCGCTCGTTTCGATCGAAGAAGCAGCGAAAAAAAGTCGTGGATGCTGGAGACCTGCCAGTGATCCCATTCAGCCTTGTCTGATCTAGCCGGTGTTGGATGGCAGTGACATGTTTCTCTCCCTCTCGTTAGGCATTGGCTCAGCATTCATCAATGCTACTGTGCCAGAAAAAGAGAATTAGAGGGATCTGACTATCAGTTTGTGCTTAAGCTTTCTCACGCACTTACTCCATGCATCTATCCTTATTAGAATCTAAAACTGCTAGCAGTGGTGAGTGGTCCATTTCTGTTCATGAGAACCCCAACGTTTGAACATCGAAAAAAAAAGAGAGGCCCAGTGTTGTTATTAGCAGTAGGCCAGTAGCTTTGCTTAAACAGAAACAACGGCTTCGGCTTGTAATCAAGCTGAAGCAGCAGTTCGGCAGGGTAAGATCAGGCTGCTGGCTTGGCAGATGGACAGGGGTCACGTAGAGAGGATACGACACCGAGTATGAGACAGCACAGCACAGCTCAGCTCAGCAACCTCTGGGACGCCTAGTCGCCTCGTCGGTCAGGGGTTCGGCCCCAGCTCCTCCTTCCGCTTAACGTACTAGGGTCTGCAGCCGTAGAAGCGCCTTCGGCCTTCCAACATTTTTTCCTCTTTATTATTTATTACTTACGAGAACTCAAAACGAAAAAGCGGCCCGCCCATGGCATGAAAATTGCAGCGAAATAAGAATAAAACTTATATACAGTGCAAATTATTAGTCGTGGAAAGATTATTTTGAACGTGTTACAATCTTCATGTGGGATTTTACATTACTTTCTATTAAAGTGTATTCATAAACTTCAATAATATTACGATATTATGGGAGTGCCTTTCAAAACATATATAAATGTGGATTCTGTGTTTTCAAACTAAACAATATTAAAAGTTATTGATGATAATTAGTCCAACACCAGTGGGAACGTTGCTAGAGATTTGCAACAGTGAGTGAAACAAATCTCTTAAATTATCACAATTAACCCATGATCATATTGTCCATCCCTCACATTCCTCGAGGAATCACCACGAACTTTAAGAAAACTTCCTAATACATTCAAGGGTTTTAATAAACATCAACTAACTTGTGCCATAAAAACATTAGAATTCTAAGATATCGAACATATGGATGCTAAGTTAAGAAGCTGGCTACAACTTCTTCGATGAGGTGAAGAGTCAAAGTTCAATATCTTTAGGTTTCTTTTGAGCTTCATTGAGCCTTTGGTCTTACAGATCACTATCACAGGGAGTGTTTGGCTGGCATTAAATTTCTACTATAGCAGCTGGAAAACACTGTTCGTTCTGGAATCTGGTGAGAGAAAAACACTGCTCCTAAAAAAAAAAACAGCCAGCCAACCGAAGCTGACCAGCCGAACACGCCCATAAGTCACATGTGACATAAATATCTTATGATTCATAGGTCAAACAGAGAAAATCGCAGGTCGATGCCTAAGAAATGAGATAAAATGATTGTGTTGCAATGTAAATATGTTTCAACCCTTAATGGATGGGATGAGACGTGATAAGGTTTATGCCTTGTTTAGTTCCTCCCCCTAAAGTTTAGCCCATATCACATCGTATATTTGGACACATACATGGAGTATTAAATATAGACTAAAAAATAACTAATTGCACAAATTGCCACTAATTTGCAAGACGAATCTTTTAAGCCTAATTAGTCCATGATTTGACAATGTTTGTGCTATAGTAAACATGTGTTAATGATGAATTAATTAGGCTTAATAAATTCGTCTCGCGGATTACTGATGACTTGTGTAATTTATTTTATTATTACTATCCGAACACTCCCATGTGACACCTCTATGTGACACCCGATGTGACAACCCTAAACTTTAGTCCCTGGATTTAAACACCACCTTAGTATTGAGGTGAATGTGGGGGTGAAGAGGAACATACATTTGCTAGGCAACAAAGGAGATAATAGTGTTTAATCATGTTAAAAAACTTAGGCTACATCATCACACATTGAGTTTGTGACACGAAAAATATAAAACTAACACCAATCTTAGTCCAATTCAATTCCTACTTCATTATAAACCAAAGTGGCTCTACTTTTTTCTTTCATGTTGCACTTTCAAAACCACAATAAAAAAAGAGACAAGTGTACCACGATGACAACGAAAAAGTCTACCCTAAAAAGAAGAGAGGAGATATAGCAGGAGGTATGGTATCTGCGAGGGCGGACCCAGAGTAGTAGCAGTGGAGGCACACATGTCGCGACTTAGGTTCTTAATTTTCAAGGAAATTAGGCCCTTTGCGCTGGAAGCTGTAGAGGTTCAGTAAGAGAGTTGTCACCACTTATTTTTTGGTTGGGTCCGCCCCTACGTATCTATACGTAAGCACATCAGGAGATATATGTTTTTTTTTATAAATGAGTAGTTCCTACCTCTGCAACGACATAGCGATAAGAAATAAATAAATAAATAAATATATATATATATATACACACACACAATATATAAGAGAGATAAATTAAGTCATTTTTAGAGAAGCATCTAATAAATTTTATGAGTGAGGCAGATGGACACTAAACCGAGTGGTTGGGCAGTCTCGGCAGCACCCTGGTGTCTAAGGATGGCAACGGAACGGGTTCGGATCGGGGGAGTGTCTGGGCACCCAAAACCGAAACCCAAATCCGTCCCGAAAATCGATTCGGGTGAAAATCCATCCCCGAAACCGAAACCCGCGGATCCCCGAAACCCGAGGATATTGCAATTAAAGATGTACCGCGGCCAAGCTCCGACCGCAGACAGCAGCAGGCGCGGCGTCGACCGCGGCCAAGCTCTGGCACACCAAACGTAGCTCCGGATCAGCTCCCGCGCAGCCTCGCTCCAGATCTTGCCCCACCAGCGGCACCACAGATCTGGCGTCCCCACCCCCACTTTTGAGACCCGTGGCGGCGGCGCCGCCAGACCGAAGCAAAGCAACCAGATGAGGAAGCAGCGGAGAGGCGGGAAAAGGAACGAATGGAAAGCGGCGGCCGAGAGCGAGGAGGGCAAGAGGACGGACGGCTCACCTCTTACGTCGGCGAGCAGGCGGCAGAAGAGCGGAACTCGAGGGTGAACTTCGCGGCGCGTGAAGCGTGAGAGCGAGTTGGACTTGCCGACGCCGAGTCGCCGATCGAGGATACTGCTGCCGTACTGTGTGTGCGGCCGTGGGAAGGAATGAATGAGCCGCCGTCGTCGTCGTCGCTCGTCGCCTGTCGGATGGATCACGGCTGCTGGCGCTGGGTGGATGCGGATGAAATTTGAGGGTTGAAATGAACGATTCCACGCTTATATACTTAGGCTTCCTAGGTGGGCTGAAAGTTTCGGGGCCCCGATGGAGCTCCACGGGTCAATTTAAAGATCCGCCCAAAAACCGCGGTATTTCGGGTATCCGAACCCGCAAATCCGTGGGTGAAAACCAGGACCCGAAACTGAAAACCGCGGACCCGAAACCCGCGGATATCCGCCCCGAACCCGATCCGCTGCCATTTTTACTGGCGTCCCGGGTTCGAACCCCACAGGTCAATCGCCGAGCGGAGGTAAAAAAACCCCTCCTGCCCCGCGTGTCCAAATCAAACGTCTAAAGACTAGCCCAACTCACATAAGCAATGGTGCCGCTCATTTAAGGGCGGGACTAGATGTTCGAGGATTTTCTCTGTCTACGTAAGAAGTCTTTATATCGTAAGCACAATGCTTAACGGTCGTCTTCAACTTGTAGGCCGATTTTTTTTTATAAATTTTATGAGCGAGGAGTGTTCGCTTGTTGGTCGATCAGCCTTATCGGTAAGCCCACGTGTGTTTTTTCTCACAACAAAACCAAAGACCAATGGACTTATCATCGGTAGTAAACCAACCAATGAAAAATGGGCTTGAGAAATGAGACAAACCTTTTCACCAAACCAGCTAGGTTATGCAACACCCCCACACACCGGATGCTCCCTCTCCTTCACGGGAGGAATCTCTCGCTTTCTCGCTCCCAACTGAGATGTCATTTTTGGTCAGCATTGCCATACACGTACAAGCATTGCGGAGAAAGGTGTGGGGAAGAAAAGGCAGAGAAAGCGGTGCGAGGAGCAGAAAAACGGGGGTGATTAGCTGTTCGTCCCGTGTCCCGTTCCTCCTCGCCCACCACCGAACGCGGACAAAACCGCCCTCCTCACGGCCTCGCCCGTCGCCACACTCCCAGCCCCCCTCGCTCGCGCACACGGCACATCACCAGTTCCCAGTACACTGCTCTACGCCTCACTCAGTACAGCAGCGGCCAGCGTCTGCCTAATCTCTCCAGCCCTTTCGTCCCCTTGCCACGCCGCCCACCGCTGCCGCATCATCCGCCCGTTGCCGGCCGACGTCGCCTGGCCCGCGGCTTCCGCCCCCATTCGCCGCCGAGCCCCGTCCCAGATCGCCGCGGCGCTTCCTGCCGGCGTCGGCGCGGCGCAGGTACCCTGTCCTCGCGCCGGATCTGCCTCTGTTTCTGCTGATTTGCGCATGCTTTGGTGTGTGGCCGTGGTAAATGCGAACGCGTTAGGCTGCCGCCACTCCCCAAATTGCTGCTCTTAGTTCGTGCGTCGGTGGCATCGCCTGTAGATGAGCCGTGCTTGCAGACTGCAGTGGCTTTGACTCTGGATGCATGCTCGTGTCTGGTAGTGCCTACTGTTAGCTGGGGTGTTTTTGCCTGCTTCTTTGGAAGTTACTAATACTAAAGGAGAGGAGGCATTGGATTGCTGGGAGCTGGAACTAAGTGGCCGTGGATTTAAGCGGGGTAGTGACAAGCTCATTAGCCCTCCACGTGTTTCTCTTCAAGTTCGAACTAGAGGCTTTGTGGTTCTCCCCCGTTGTTATCCCCTTTGAAGGTTTGTGTCTCTGAAGCAATTATCCAGAGGCAAATTAGGAAAGTTTGCATCACATAGAAGAAAGAAAACATTTCTAATTTCCCACTGTATGACCGTCGATGTGTGCTGCATTTGATCTGCTGTGTGTTTTTTGTGATCATATCGTGATTTATTTGCTGAAGCGCTTCTGGTTATGCTTTTGCCTTGTTAACTTTATTTTTATGACTGTTCCTGCTCCAAGGTTGGAAATCTATTTGACCACTCAGTGGGTGGCCTCATGTTAAATCCATTTCTGGTTTGAAGATGCTTCATCAATGACATCTGGAAACTGTAATAGTATGTGCTGATCTTCTATGCTGCACCACCTGCTTGTCAATGGGCTCTTTCCTGAGGAAACAGCCCAGCTACCTCTTCATTTTGATAATTCTGCACCTTGTTGCTCATGAGGCAAGGACGCTGAGTTCAGATGGTATGTGATGGTTCTGGCTGCTATTTGTGGCACATTTTTTCCGCTTGTCCAAAATGCTAACACTCACTGGTATTCTACAGGCGAAGCACTTCTTGCCTTCAAGAAGGCAGTTACAAATTCAGATGGAGTCTTTCTAAATTGGCGTGAGCAAGATGCAGACCCCTGCAATTGGAAGGGTGTTAGATGTGATAGTCATAGCAAGAGAGTGATTAATCTGTAAGAACAAAGAACCATTCTTTAAGCTAACTTAGTTTGTGGTGTCTAGCTATCTACAGTTTCTGCAACAGTAATTTGTTTTTTTTTTATGGGATAGAATTTCTCTAAAGAGAATGAAATTTCAGCATCTTCTATCAATGTAGCATCAATATCTGTCTTACTCCTTTATTCAGGATTCTTGCATACCACAGATTAGTTGGGCCCATACCACCAGAAATTGGAAGGTTAAATCAGTTGCAAACCTTGTAAGTGTGTTCTAAAAATGGCATCTCTTAACCTTTTCTTATTGGTATTCCCCTCATATCATTTGTTGGTACATCTAAATGTGTCTTTTTTTTTGGCATAGGTCACTGCAGGGGAACAGTTTGTATGGTTCACTCCCTCCTGAACTAGGGAATTGTACCAAGTTGCAACAATTGTAAGTTTTCTAATGGCTAGAGTGCACTGTTCAGGGCATCAATGCTAGATAATGTAACAAATAATCCATGGATAACACTGAACCATATCAAGTCAATTGCATGCTTCTTATGTATTACAGACTTTACTTTGTATAGTATATCTTGTGTTCTGATGATGTATGATGACTTGCAGGTATCTACAAGGAAATTATTTAAGTGGGTACATCCCTTCAGAATTTGGTGATCTGGTGGAACTCGAGGCATTGTAAGTTCAGATTTCAGAAGGAATTTTCTAAATCTCAATTGACTATTGATCAGTTTTTCAATATATCAGTGTTGTTTTTACTGTCCACTCCATATCAGATAGATCTCTCCAATTAGACTGATTCAAGCTTCCAGAGAGATTTACTATTTTACTATAGTAGTAGACCAAACCTAAAAGCCCAACTTAGAAAAGAAGTTTACAGACAGTTTGTGCTAGCCATGGTAAAAAATTTATAGATTGTTATATCTCGATCTTTTTTCTCTTCCAGGGACTTATCCAGTAATACATTGAGCGGATCTATTCCACATTCTCTTGATAAGTTGTCCAAACTTACATCGTTGTAAGTTTTTTTTTATTTGGGTAAATCCATCTAATTGTTATGAAAAGTTAATGGCTGAGATAAAAAATCATTTACCTGCAACCTTGTGTAGCAATGTTTCCATGAACTTCCTGACAGGAGCAATACCATCTTCTGGTTCACTTATCAATTTCAATGAAACATCGTGAGTGATTCTACATGTTTTATTTATGGCCATATCTATCTTATTCACTATCACACCTATGTATTTATGTTTGATCTTGTGAATCAGAAATATTGATTCATAAGCTTCTCTAATTTATCTCTCCATTCTCCAATGAGTAGCAATACTACTTTCCCATTCCGTAGATTCCAACTGAATTTTATTTTGGTAATGTAGCTTTGTTGGGAATCTTGGTTTATGTGGGAAGCAGATAAACTCGGTGTGCAAAGATGCACTTCAATCACCATCAAATGGTCTGCAGTCACCTTCCCCAGGTACTAAATATATTATAGTAACATAGTTTTTAGCTGTAAGTGTGATCATGTTGTGATTTTATTGATATCTGCATCTGGTGTGTTTTATCACCAGTAAGAAACATGGCCTTGGCAGTTCTGAGTTGTGCAGGTTGATTTTTTTGGCACATTTCTTTTAGGTCAAGAGATGGACCTACAGGCCATGTCTTTTAATCTTAGCATGCTAAGCTGCTAAGAACCATGTGCCTAACTGTGGTCCCATATTCCTTTTGGGGAATTAAAAGCTATTGAATACGGCATCATTAAGTGTTAAACTCTGATAAGGTCCATAGTCTACTTAGGGAATTAAAAGCTTTCTTAGACATCATTGTTAAGTGTTAAAGTTAAACTCTGATAACTGATACCCATATGCCTCATAGTTGTGGATTCTGGATTGGATCAGATTTTGTGAAAAACCAGGTGCATGCATGCTATCATCAAAGATGAATCTTGTGGAGAGCCAAAATGGTAACAATGAAGTAGACATTACAATAGGGGAAAAAAAGTTGGTGAAAGCACCACTTAGCTACAACATTGAAAGAGCACAAAGGATTATTTCTAACTTAACAGCCTTTTGAACCTCTATCTTTACCCGATACAGCAGTTTTGTGATAACAAACAACCTAGCCTTCTAATTTGCTGGTGAACTGCTACGTATAAAGCTTTGCTTTGGGTGAGAACTGACATTGTGTGTTGCTGCTTGCTTGGGTTGGTTGCTCTTAGCAACCCCTTTGCCTTATAAGAGTCCCCAGTCCCCCCACTTGCCGTCCGGGGTGTGGGGTGGGGGGAGAATGCGGATCTGCGTGCTAATATGATCAGTATAAGAATCCTTCTAGCCTCACCTCTTTCAAGATGTACAACAAGTCAAACAGGCACATTTTTCCCGAGAACCTGTGCTCAATAAGTTTACATGCAAGGCCTTCCATGAGTTGCGATTCAAGATTTGTACCTTTTGTGCTCAACAACTGCTCACTTTATTTCTTCGCATTTCAACTCTTGTTTTCTGGCATTCTTATGCATTTTGGTGGTCTTACAACAGATGACATGATTAATAAAAGGAATGGGAATTCTACCAGACTTGTTATAAGTGCAGTGGCAACAGTGGGAGCTCTCCTATTGGTGGCTTTAATGTGTTTCTGGGGTTGCTTTCTTTACAAAAATTTTGGAAAGAAAGATATGCGTGGTTTCAGAGTGGAGCTCTGTGGAGGTAACCATGGCATGGAATATGTTGTGCAAGTATTATTATTTTTCAGAGGAAATTGACTTATGACATTGCTTGATTTTTCAGGCTCTTCTGTCGTGATGTTCCATGGGGACCTCCCTTACTCCTCGAAAGACATCCTCAAGAAGCTAGAGACTATGGATGAAGAAAATATCATTGGAGCAGGAGGCTTCGGAACTGTTTATAAACTTGCAATGGATGATGGCAATGTCTTTGCCTTGAAAAGAATAGTGAAAACAAATGAAGGGCTAGATCGGTTCTTTGATAGAGAACTTGAGATATTGGGAAGTGTTAAACATCGCTATTTGGTCAATCTTCGTTGTTATTGCAACTCTCCTTCATCAAAACTTTTGATATATGATTATCTTCCAGGTGGAAGCCTGGATGAAGTGCTTCATGGTAAAGTGTCATTTTTGTTTATCAGCTTACATCTCTTCGATTGGATTTATTTTTCATCTTTAGTTGCTTTCTAAATAAACACGTTAACAAGCTTGTTATCAGTCCCTTTGCCACTATGACAAGTTAATCATGTTTTTGTTCAACGCGAACAACAATTTTAGGCTTCTGGATATTATGGCACCACCATCCCACATTTGTTGCTGTCCAATTGCCATTACAAATCCCATCCGTCCAATGTCATCCCATCTCTTAGACTTACACAAGCCCAGTCAATGGAAACTATAATTTGTACTAGCCTGGTAGCCCATGTACAGTCGAGAAGATACAATAGCAGCATTGAAACAATATTTTTTCTTCCACGAACACTGTTACTTGAGAGTATTGTCTATTTAAATGCAAATTTTAATGCACTTCTCATTTCTCATCATAAATTTGTTACTCCACAAAATAGTCATCACAATCATACATTCTTTATTTAAATAATGCTCCAATGCCCCTGCATAACTTCTGTGATCCCTACAGCAATGTGCAGGGCATCCTTCTAGTGTTTAAAGAATTTGCAGCCAGTCTCAACAAATCTTTCAGGATTCACTCATTTTTTTCTTGATCTGACACAGTGCAAAATAGCATTAATATTTTATGTTTGCTCCTTACATTGTTTTTGTCCGAAAATCTTTGCAGAAAAATCTGAACAGTTGGATTGGGATGCACGTATTAACATTATACTTGGAGCTGCAAAAGGCTTGTCTTATTTGCATCATGACTGTTCGCCTCGAATAATACATCGTGATATTAAGTCAAGCAACATCTTGCTTGATGGCAATTTCGAGGCCCGTGTATCAGACTTTGGACTTGCAAAGCTTTTAGAGGATGAAGAATCACATATTACTACAATAGTTGCAGGAACATTTGGTTATCTTGCACCAGGTATGTGGAAGTCGTTCTGTTACATCCTGAGGGGAAAAAGAAGAAATGAACTTCTGTTTACTCTTTAATTGCCGCTTCAGACTTTCTCTGGTTGCTTAAATATCATTGTTAATTCTCTGAGCTAACATAAACAAAATCCAAATCCACAGAGTACATGCAATTTGGCAGAGCCACCGAGAAGACTGATGTCTACAGTTTTGGGGTTTTGGTACTTGAAATACTTAGTGGAAAGCGGCCTACCGATGCATCCTTCATTGAGAAGGGATTAAACATTGTTGGATGGGTATGTCCTGTTATGACCTTCCCTTTGATATGCACAGCTGTCATAAGGGCTCCATTATTTTAAATATATAAGACTTGTATACTTTCTGTGTGACCTTCGATCGAGTTAGAGTAACCTGACAGGATCATCTTGTCTTTTGGCAGTTAAATTTTCTGGCTGGTGAGAACCGGGAGAGGGAAATTGTCGATCTGAACTGTGAAGGAGTGCAGACTGAGACCTTAGATGCTCTGCTTTCTCTTGCCAAGCAATGTGTTAGCTCTTTGCCAGAGGAGCGGCCGACAATGCACAGGGTGGTACAGATGCTGGAGTCGGATGTGATTACACCGTGCCCTAGCGACTTCTACGATTCAGAGTAGTCTCCTGGACAAGCCACACTGCTGCTAATTTCCCGTGGAGGCGCATTCCTTTATTCTTTGCAGATATTGTGTAAATGCATTGCCGCGGTGTTTGGTCTCCAATCGGCTGGTTCAACGGGTGACATTTTTTGCGTCTGTATACCTATGTATGTATCTGTCATGCTACAAGTTGGCTATATGCTGATTTAATAAGAGATAACTTACCAGTAGACTACTGTGTGTTTAACCATCGATCTTTAGATACTGGTAGATTTGGTGCGGGATCTCCACAAGAAATGGAAAAAAAAGCAGTATTTTCTGTGGATACACGTTGGATGTGACGACAGTATTTTCTGTAGATACCACTTGTTCGATGAGACATATGAACTGTAAGGAACAGGAAGCTAATTCTTTGAAACTGGGTTTATTACAGACGCGACAGATGACACTAATACACAACGCATGAGACTGAAACACAGCAGCCACAACACACGCTACTCAAGACAACCATGATACCAGTACAGTGACGAGTGTATTACACGGACGCTAGCATTTTATGGACCCGACATGTGAAGAACTACCCGATGATCGACACAACACAAGACGAAGACGGCACCATCTGTTATTGAGCATATAAGCACCAGGCTCCTCTAGCCGGAAATCTGGATAGACTTGACGTCGGGCTTCTTGGCCTCCTCCTTAGGCACGGTGACGGTGAGCACGCCGTTCTCCATGGACGCACTGATTTGCTCCGTCTTGGCGTTCTCCGGCAGCCGGAACCTGCGCAGGAACTTGCCGCTGCTGCGCTCCACGCGGTGCCAGGTGTCCGTCTTCTCCTCCTGCTCCTTGTTGCGCTCACCGCTGATCTGGAGCACGTTGCCGTCCTCGACCTCCACCTTCACCTCCTCCTTCTTCAGCCCCGGCACGTCGGCCTTGAACACGTGCGCCTCCGGTGTCTCCTTCCAGTCGATGCGGGCACCGGCGAAGGCGGCCGTCTCCGAGTTGGTGCCTCCGAACGAGGGGAAGAGGCTGCTGCTTCCAGAGCCAAAGGGAAAGCCCTGGAAGGGGTCCCAGAGGTCGAGGGAGAAGGGGTCGAATGCGCTTCCACGGCGAATCAGCGACATTCTTGGTCGGACCGACGGTTGTTGTTTCGAGTTTTGAGTGACGCGGGAGATTGGAATTGTGGTTGCTTCGGCGACTCAGGTGTCTGTGTTTCTTGTCTGTTCTGACTTCTGACGAGGAGCGTCGACGCAGGGACGGCTTAACTTATAGCAAGCGACGGAAGGGCCTGCCTGTGGGCTTCCAGAGTTCTCTCGTGTGCCCAGCATGGGCTAGAAGTTACAAGATCTCACGGTTGGGCCAGAATTAACTCAGACTTCCTATGGACTGTATCCTACGTAATGGACCGACTGGATTGATCTGGAATCTTCGACAATCTCTTGTTCGAGGAAGGAATTCCCTTGTTTGACTATCACGGTTGGCCCAACCGTTTCCATTTGTGGCCCAGTCCCCCAAATCCTGTTGCAACCAATACGTTCTCGCAGGAGCCAGAAGTATCCAGAAGTCCAAGGCCACCTGAGCCCGCCATCCGTCGCGTCGCTATAAAGTCTGCCGCACCAGAGCCGGCAAGCAGCACAACGACAAACTGTTAGACACCAGTCAAGAATTTTCGATCCAAAACAATCGACGACTCGAAATCACGACGAACCGATCATGTCGCTGATCCGCCGCAGCAACGTGTTCGACCCCTTCTCCCTCGACCTATGGGACCCCTTCGAGGGCTTCCCCTTCGGTTCCAGCAGCAGCCGCAGCCTCGTCCCCTCGTTCCCGCGCACCAGCTCGGAGACCGCGGCATTTGCCGGCGCGCGGATCGACTGGAAGGAGACCCCCGAAGCGCACGTGTTCAAGGCGGACGTCCCGGGGCTGAAGAAGGAGGAGGTCAAGGTGGAGGTTGAGGACGGCAACGTCCTCCAGATCAGCGGCGAGCGCAGCAAGGAGCACGAAGAGAAGAACGACAGGTGGCACCGGGTGGAGCGCAGCAGCGGCAAGTTCCTTCGCAGGTTCAGACTGCCGGAGAACGCCAAGACAGAGCAGATCAAGGCGTCCATGGAGAATGGCGTGCTCACCGTCACCGTGCCCAAGGAGGAGGCCAAGAAGGCCGACATCAAGAATGTCCAGATCACCGGCTAGGAAGGAAGCACGCGCGCGCCGTGGAGCTTCATATCGAGATAACGCGCGTCCGTTGTGTAATTGTGTGTAGTGCTATCAGTTTATATTCCGTGTGTTTCTGTAAACCTGTTTGTTAGAGTTCTGGGTGTCCGGCGTGCCACTGTTGCGTGGAGACGTCAAGTACTTGAGTCCATCATGGCTTTGTTGCATGGTATGCTACTTCATAAATGAGGTGCAGTCTGTTTGTCTATTTCGTCAAAATTTGTGCGAGAATTCAGAGATTGAATTTGTACCATTGTATCCCGTGTTTGTTTGCACATCAGAAGAACTCTGTCCCCCCTCCTCTCGTCATACTGGTACCGTTTCAGTTTCCAAATAGAATGTGCAAAAAAAAAAACTTGTCGAAGTTCCGTAGCATTTGAAATTGAAACCATAGATAGATGTACATGCATGCACTCCCTCCGTCTTAAAACAAATCTTCGTCTCTATGAATGATCATTTTGATTAAGTTTATAAAAAATAGTATCGGCGTTTCTATCTCCAAATAGATTACTGTAAAAATGTATGATATGATGTATATCTAGTAGGAAAATTATTTCCTATTCCCCGTGAGTAACTACTAATATGTGTATATCTCTAGATCCAAGGTATATACGGCCCGACGAAGTGTATGTGACAGAGTATATGATCATATGAGACCATCTAGGGTAGTATGTATGTCAAAAAAAATCACGTAGTAAGATTAGGAGTGTCTTGAAATAAGTATACTTAAACTGATAAATGGGTATGCATACATACACAACATGGTTTATTAAGATAGGAGTAACTACTCCCGAGGGTATATATATTATATCTGATCAAAATTGAGATTGTTTGATTCTTCGAAATACGAGATGAAGACTTATTTGGGACTGAGGGAGTGTACACATCCCCTTCCTAACTTGATCTAGTCAGACAGAGACTCGAACAAATCACAACTCCAGAACGTAATTTCTTCAGAATGGATTTTTCCCCATCAAAAAAAAAAAAATCTACAATATATACTGCATAGTTTGTCTTCGGGAGTTCATCTGATCAGATAGCTCTGGCATGTGGCATCGAGCAGGGACATTCAAGCCAGGAATTTCTCCACCTTCTCCACTTCCTCAACGCTCCCGATGTACAGAGGCACTCTTTGGTGGACCTGCACGACGCAAACACATTGGTTAATCTATCAGCTGGACACAGTTCTACATTCAAGATTCAAGTAGGCAAATTGAGCACTCGCGTTCTACATTCAAGGACAGGAATTTCAAAGGGAACAACATACAAGATTTCACGGGGAAAACGTAGGATTTCAGGAAAGCATCCCGAGTTCCGAAGGGGGCCTCATAGTTTGATACCTCTGTAGGTGTGATGTCAAGAATCCTCTGGTGGCCATCAGAGCCCTTGCCACCGGCCTGCTCGACGATGAAGCTCATGGGCGCGCACTCGTAGAGAAGCCGCAGCTTGCCGTTCTTGCTCTTTTTGTCCCTGGGGTACCCGTAGATGCCTCCATAGAGCAGAGTGCGGTGGAAATCGCCGACGAGGCTGCCGATGTAGCGCGCGGAGTAAGGCTTCCCTGAGTCGCCGGGCTCCTTGAGGCTGTCCATGTACTTCTTCAGCTTGTCGTCCCAGAGCGCATAGTTGCCCTCGTTGAAGGCGTAGATCTTGCCGGCCTTGGGGATCTGCAACTTCTCCTGCGTCAGCACGAACTCGCCGTACATGGGGTCCAGCGTGAACACGTACACCCCCGTGCCGACGGTGAGCACGAAGATCACCGAGCTGGAGTACATGCAGTAGCCGGCGGCCAGCAGGTTGCTCCCCGGCTGGCACACGCTCACAATGCACCTCTGCTCCACCGAGTCAAGCTGCGCGTAAGTACGTAGTGTTAACGGTCTGCGTCTCTGCGCATGAGCCAGCCAGAAGGCAGGGAGACAAGATTATTAGCACTTACGGTCTCATTGTCCTCGACGTTGGCGAGGCACTCGTCATTGGGGGCGTAGATGCCGAAGATGGAGCCGGTGGAGACGGCGGCGTCGATGTTAGAGGAGCCATCGAGAGGGTCGAACACGACGATGTAGTTGCCGGAGTAGCTCTGCTCCACCGCTACTGGCACGTCCTCCTCCTCCGAAGCGATCACGCCGGTGCGCCCGCTCGACTTGAGGCAGTTAGAGAACACCTGGAATGCGTCGTGTTGTTCTTGATGGTTGGTTTTGGGAACTTGTATTGGTCGCGCTGGAATGCTGTTTTTTTTTTTTGTCTATGTGTGTGTGGTGTATGCGCGCAAAAAAAAGAAAAGAAAAAGAAAAAAAGACGGGCGAGTCAGTTACCTCGTTGGAGACGACATCGAGCTTCTTCTGGTCCTCGCCCTGCACGTTGACGGCGCCCTGGACGCCCGTGAGGTTGGAGATGGGCGCGCGCTGCACCAGCGCGGCGATCTGCTTGCACGCCGTGGATATGCTGGCCAGCACGATGGTCATCTCGTTGTCGATCGCACCGGTCCGCTCCTGCTGCAGCAGCCACGTCGTCAGCGTCACGATCTCGTAGCTGCTCGACTTCGGGCTCGTCGTCTCCGTCGCCGCGGACGCAGCAGTGTCCACGGCCGCCATGCACCGAACGTGAGCGGCCGGCGTCTGCTGGGCTGTGACCCTGCCGGCGGGCCTTCTGGACTGGCCGAGGAAGGAGAGGCGGCATCGGAGGGAGGCCGCGTGCTGGCGGGAGAGAAGGAGCAGGTGGGAGGAGGTGGCGGCGGCGGCGGCCATTGCTGCTGCTGGCACGTGCGCTCGCCTCTCTGCTCTGCTCTTGCCACGGCTGCCTTGCGGTGGTGGCTTCTTGTTTTGTTCCGTTGGTTTCGGGTTGGGTTTGTCCGTTTGTGTGGTTTGGGAGGGAGTGTGGATTGGGGGAAGGATTGTGAGGACGACGTTGCTTCAGCAGCTTCAGGTTGGATGCTTGCTGCGCATATTCGTTAGGCCAATCAAATTTCACTGAACTGGCATTGCAAATTGCTAAGTGCTGGTGCTCGCTCGGATTGCCTATACTCAAGCGTATTGCTGAGACGCGACGAGACGACGGCGTATCTTCTAATTTTTTACCTGTATAAATATATGAGAAAAAAATGAAATGGTACATTGCTCCCTTTTTGGAATAATTAGAGAGAATGATGTTTTGTTGCCTCTTATACAATACAATTGTACAGCTTGTACAAGCAGCAACGACGAACAACAAGTGGGCCTCATAGGCTCATATACATCGGCTGAGACTTTTGAAGGCCCACTTCATCGGTCCAACCTGAGCGTGACCCAACCTGACCGGCCCATCACCAGATGATCAGACCAGGAAAAACCATCTTCCTCGGCCCAACTATCCCAACCTGACCCAAATGTTACGGTTGGCCGTCGGCAACTCGGCAACAGTTTTTGTGCTCCGCACGTATAGTCCGTTCTTCAGAGCAAGGTAGTGAAGATTTCAGTTCCAAATAAAAGAAAATGTAGTGGGGATTTCTTTCGACCATTCGTAACTACACCTCTCAATTCCAGGTTGAGTGATTTGATGGTATACAGGAGTTACATTAAATGATTATAAATAAACTGAAAACTTATTCGAAAAGAAAAAAAGAGACTGAAGGCTAATGTTGCATTGCATTTCGTCATCTGATCTGATCTGAATGACACAGACAGCTTCCCGCTAACATCTGTAGGGTAGAAGGGTCTGCAGAGTTATTTGTCACCTAACATAACATGACAAGGCCATTTCTTCTCCTTACTCTGATTATGATAACAAATCATTTTAGCACATACAGTCATTACCAACGCTGGCACCAGCCGTTGCAACAATCAAAAAGGATAATTTGCCTGGCGAGTTCTGAACTTCTGATCTCCTTGGGTAGCTTAAGCTTAGAGTCTAGCTAACTGCACTCACCGGCGGAATCTTTCGTGGCAGGATATACCAAGCAAATCGATCAGAGACATAGCCTATGTTTTCTACTACTAAACATTCCAAGGCAATCTGCAAGATATCGCCCTGTTCGCTTGGCTTATAAACCTTACTTTTTCAGCCAACGAATAATATTTTTCTCTCACAATAAATCAGCCAATAGTATTTTCAGCAATAGCTTATCAGCCAAACGAACAGGACAATATACTCTCACTGTCGTCTTGTGCTTTACATCGGCTCTCGTCGATAGGTACAACAAACTTGTCCTCTTCTGTTAATTTGTCACCATCCCAGCCAGCCATCTTTTGCTAGCCACCGATCGGGAAGCACGGGCACGGGGCACCTCACTTCAGAGTTCAGACACAACTCTTTAGCTGTGATGTGTCATGTCCTGTCGGAAGTACAGACAAATGCACTTGTCGAGAAGAACTCTCCGCTTGTTTGTTCTTTCACGAGCTACGGAATCTTCGAAGTACCATCGACCCATCGTAAGCTTTGTTCTGATTGACCCGATGGCCGATGGTTTAGGAATCAACGTATTCATGCTGTCACTTTATGCGTCATCCTAGGAAATGTCATGCCGTATAGCTATAGGTCAATGCCAAAAGCACACCAGTGTGAATCCAGAGAGGCATTTCGGTCACTAGTGGAAGAAAGGGAAGAAAATACCAATGCCAAATCCGTCAACTGGCAGGCCTACTTCGCGTACCTGGTTTGGTTCGTGGGAGAGGTCCACGTTAGTTTGATCTCCAAGGCCTAATTGGGCCCTTATCAACATCTTAGATCGGAGGCGTCCAACCGCTCCATGATTGGTGGGCTCCCGTCGCACAGTACTATAAAGGGAGGTGGAGGCCAGGGCTCTATCTATGAGGTTGACCTGAGCCGCCGTAACCAGAAACCCTAATCCGATCTAATGAGAAGGGTGCTGCAGTGCCACCACCGGGATGTTGTACCTCGCCTCGTCGTCGGGACTACGACTGCACTTCATCTCCGGTCGCTGCGGGCGCACTAGCTACCAAGGTACACCAACGAGATGTTCATACCTGCTAGATCTACACCTAGAGGTTTAGAATTTGCTATCAATGGTACCGGAGCCAGGTTCAGCTAATGTGTAGATCCAGATATGGAGAGTAGTAATTTAGAAAGAGATGAGAAAGATCCAATTCGGATCGGGTTTCGGACCCTAACCCTAGAAGGGGAAGAAATCAGAAAGAGGGTTCGATTCGGCCGATTTGGATCAACCCAAACACGAAACCCTAACCCTAACCGGCCGAATTTGCGACCAGGGAAGGGGAAGAAGCATCGGGGAAGATGAACAGCTAAACCTAACCCTAGCCCTAGTGAGAAAAGTGGGACAAGGAAGGGACCTACCGGTTTTCCCTTACCGCCGGCCGTCGTTGACTGCTAACCTTGGCTTGTGGTATCCCAAGGGCTCCAAGTTCAATCTACTTGGCTATTCGGATTCCGATTATGCCGATTGCAAGGTAGATAGAAAAAGCACTTCAGGAACATATCAATTCCTTGGACGGTCCCTAGTGTCTTGGAGTTCTAAGAAGCAAAATTATGTAGCATTTTCCACCGCCGAGGCCGAGTATGTTGCAGCCGGTGCATGTTGTGCTCAACTACTTTGGATGAGGCAAACCCTTCGTGATTTTGGATGTCAATTCACCAAAATCCCACTCTTGTGTGACAATGAAAGTACCATAAAGCTAGCAAACAATCCCGTTAGCCACTCAAGAACCAAACATATAGACATCCGACATCATTTCTTGAGAGACCACGAAACCAAAGGAGATATCAAAATTCGTCATGTGAGCACCGAAAAACAACTAGCCAATATCTTCACTAAACCTCTCGATGAGTCAAGGTTTTGTGCTTTGCGTGGTGAGCTAAATATACTTAATTCTCGTAACGAGGTTTGAAATATAGTACACCTCTGTTTGACTACCTAGCCACATAGGAAAATGATTTAAAAGAGTATTATATTGTGTTTCAAAACCATTTCAAAAGGCCAACTAAGTGTCATGACCATTGTCTGTATTGTTGATTGCTTACTGGTCATGATATTTAGAGAATATATATCCATATCTGAGGTAAAGAAGGTCATAGAGTTTCAGCGTAAACCCTGCAAAATTGGCAGGGCGACAGTGTCGCCCATCTTGGCCGGCAGTGCGGCTCTCTGAAAACTGGGCTATTTTTAGCCAATTTTGGCTGGGTCGCGGGGCCCGTTTTCTTCTACTTATTCCTTCTCTGGCCCCGACCCAACTCTCTCCTCTCCCAGCCGACGCCGACGCCCATGCTCCTCTTTTCCTCTCTCTCTCAAGCACGCGCCGCCGCCGTTTCTTGCGACCTGCCACCCCGGCAGTGCCACCCCTGTAGCCGACCAAGTCTCTTCATCGCTGGTCACTGTAGGAGGCTCCTGGCTGAGCCGTTTCTTCTCTTCTCCCTCCACTCCAATGGTTTGGAAGCAAGGTGAAATCCTAACCCCTTTCGATCTATGTAATGTGAAGCTTTTAGTCATGGATTTCAGTTTCTAGGGGGAGTATGAAGGGTTTAGAAAGGTTTTTGATGGTTGAATTGAGTTGATTTTGGATTTCACCGGTTGGATGATTTTGGGAAGAGCGGCAATGCCGCTCATGGGACCATTAATGGCACCCCTAGCAGATTCTAACTGCTATACTCAAGTTCATAAATCCGATGAAGTTCACAATGGATTGGATTCACTTATCAAAAATTGTTTCTAAAATTTTCATACTCAATCTTTCAAATTCATGGCTAGGGTCTCATGTATTCTTTGCTTAGACTGTGATTCTGAAATTGTGATGATAAATAGACACTGTTGGAAATATGATTTAACTAGAACGGGAAAGTTGAAGATGAAATAGTGAAGCAACTGAGGGCGGCAGTGCCGGCCTCAGGGGGCGGCAGTGCCGCCCTACCATGCTGATTCCAAATCCAGCACAGCTTCCTGTGTCATCTTCAAAATTCTTTTTCTTGTTAAAACCTGCCTGCAGTTGTGTCTAACTCATTATCTTATACAGCTTCTTATCAAGTCTCATTTAATTGCATAGATGGACCGAGGAAAAAGGAAGATGTTGACAACCAAGCAAAAGATCAAGAGAGGCAAGGGACAGGCGAGCTATACTCCCAGAGACAGAAATCTTGATGAAGACCTTGCTGAAGAAGAGAACATTCAGAGGATGGGAAGAACCATTCGTGTGTGGCCTGATTCTCCTTTGCATATTTCAGAGTTTGATAGCAGCTACATGAGATATAACACTGATAGTTTCGATCTCATTCCTCCCCAAAACAGTGATGATCATAGAGTTGTTGATTATTCCATGAGTTGGAAGAAGACTGGTGAAGCCAGAGAGATTGATCCCTACTCCTTTGACAGATCCAATGGCATTGATTATAGATTTTGGAATGCTTTCCAATCTAATTTTTATGCTACTGCCATTCTGTCTAAGTCAAAGGGCAAGATTAGCAAGATGCAGTACATTGACTTTGGTGACTTCGAGAGCAGGGATGATCATCAGTTTGCTACAGCAATCAAGACCTGTGACCATTTTGAGATGACAGATATCATGAGTTTTAGGTATGATTGGAACCAGGAGATTCTTGCCCAGTTCTATGCTACTTACTATTGGAACAGGGAAGTGGATGAGCTTCATTGGATGACTGATGGGCGACACTATCGCATTGATTTTGTTACCTTCTGTCGTATTCTTGGTTTTGGACACATCCATAGGGGATATGAGAGAATTCATAATGAGCGTCATCTTGAGCCAATGGAAGTGAGCTTCGTGTGGGAAGATCAAAATCTTGC